TATAAAACATTTATTAAATTACAAAATGTTTCAATAGTAACAGCTACTGTCATATAAAAACATTTATTGAAACTAAATAACAAAAAACGTATACCAATATAAAATATAAGACCAAAAAAAGTAATTTTGTCAAACTAAAGATTATTTTTGACTAAAACTATTATAACAAAATAAAAAATATATCGTTATAAAACTGAAATGAGTTTCTAGACTACAAGTAAAAACAATAAAGTAACTAAATACTGATGTTACCTGAACCACTCACTGCTCCAAACAGAGCTCTGAGCACCAGGTGAGACACCAGCCACTCTTCTGATTGGCTGAAGAGGAAGTGATGGACAGCAGGAGGCAGGAAGCTCAAACTGAGCTTCTCCACAGCTGGAAGACACAAACATCTGGTTCATGAGGACTGAAGGTCACAGGCCAACTCCTAAAGTAATTATATATATATATATATATATATATATATATATATATATACCTGATAGAACTGCTAACTGAAAGCTACTGATTTCAAGCTAACTGAAAGCTAATTGACTTGAAGCTAACTGAAAGTTCACTTAAAACTGCTAATCGAAAGCTACTGACTGAAAGCTAACTTAGAGCTTACTGACTTAAAGCTAACTGAAAACTGTTAACTTTATGCTAAGTGACTGAAAGCTAACTTAGAGCTTACTGANTGACTGAAAGCTAACTTAGAGCTTACTGACTTAAAGCTAACTGAAAACTGTTAACTTTATGCTAAGTGACTGAAAGCTAACTTAGAGCTTACTGACTTAAAGCTAACTGAAAACTGTTAACTTTATGCTAACCGACTTAAAGCTAACTTAGAGCTAACTGATTTAAAGCTAACTGAAAACTGTTAACTTTGTGCTAACTGACTTCAAGCTAACTGAAAGTTCACTGAAAACTGCTAACCGAAAGTTACTGACTTAAAGCTAACTTAGAGCTAATGGATTTCAAGCTACTGACTTACTGCTGTGAGGAGCTGAACGTCTCTGCAGGTTCGTCTGAGTCATCGTCCTAAGAAACAACTTTAAACCAGAAGGTGATGATGGTGGTGATGATGATGATGATAGTGATGATGATGATGATGGTGATGATGATGATGAAGAAGTTGATGATGATGATGATGATGAAGGTGATGATGATGATGATGATGATTATGATGAAGAAGGTGATGATGATGATGATGATGAAGAAGGTGATGATGATTTTGATGATGATGATGATGAAGAAGGTGATGATGATGATAGTGATGATGATGGTTTGTCAGTTGACAGTTGGACCTTCTGGAAGTTTGTGACATCATGTTTTTGGTCTCCAGGTTACAGGATAAAAGATGGCGACTGAAGAGAGGAAACGACGCCTGATGACAACTGACATCACAGTCCAGGTGGCAGGAGGCGGAGTCATGCACACTGTCAGAGGAGTCCTGAGCAGGTAACTGTTCATTCTGCTTTAAGGTCATGTGCTCTTAACGTGTTCAGAGTTTAAACAACACACTGACTCCTCCAATGAAACTAGGGATGTAATTAAACTCCTCTGGTGGTCTCTGGAGGTTGGTTGTTCATCGTTCTCTCCACAGGTCAGCTGGACGGTCCCGCCTCTGCAGCTGGAGGAAGGTTAAAGGTCACTTGCTTGAGGGGGAGTGGAGCCTTGCGGGGTTTGTCTGCGGGCTGGTGTTGGGGTCTGTGTACGGAGTCACGGCTTTGTTTCTGCAGAATCAGCCTCTGTGGTTCTGTGTCTACACAATGGTGGCGGTTGCATTCTTAGCAGCGTTCGGTATGGGTCTGTCAGCTGGAGTCCGGGCCGACGTCATGGTGATGCTGCCGTCACTCTGCTCAGGTCAGTCAGTGGCTTCTGAACACCGTCAGGGTTATCTCACATGTCTGTGGCTCTAATGGAAACACTGTCCAGGTGCATTATTGGAAATGTTGACTCCAGTGCTTGTGGACTTGTCTTCATCTCTGCCAATCATGAAATCACATTCTTTTATCACTTCACTAAGGTTGTGTTGGCCAAGTCATCTCTGGATCATGTTCAGAGGCATTTGTTTTAATCAACAACAGATCCAAAGACCTGGTCCACATCCAGATCAATTCAATTCAATTTTATTTGTATCGCGCAAAATCCTAATATACATCATCTTAAGGCTCTTTACATAGAAGGTCAAGACCTTCAAATTTATTTATATAGAGAAACCCAACAGTTCCCACAATGAGCAGCACTTTGAGACCGTCACTAACAGGGAGAAACCTCTAGAACCAGACTCAATGGGGAGAGCAGATCCACATCGTTCAGACAGTCTTCCTCTGTGTTTCAGCTCGCGGGAGGCACTTCCTCCTCTTCCTGTTTGTGTCTGTGCTGTTTTCTGGTCCGATCGCCAACATGTTAGAAAACACAGAGCGAGCTGCTGCCAGTCTGCTGTGTGGAGCCGAGCTGGCAGCCAATCAGACACAAGAACTGATGCAGAGAGCAACCACGCCCCTTTCCTGTAAGACCTGCCCACAGTCTCCTGCTGAACAACCTGCTAAAATTACAAATACTACTGTGTAGTATATATGTGCGTGTGTGTCTGCAGCTGCGTTGGTCAAAATCAGAGAAATCAGCACCAACGCTTATTCAGTCGCAGAAAGAGTCACCAACTTCATCCACGCTCTGACTGATGGAGTCCAACACATTGGTGAGTGACTCAACACATTTATCAGACACATGTTCAACATCACACAAGTTCATCAACTGCTGACTGGCAACAACTCAACTTTCCCACCATTGACACATGAACTCACCACAGATGCTCTGCTCATCTCTTCTGTGGATTCCTTATTTTTAGTCTGTACTGGTCTGTGGGTTGAAATCTGAAATATTAAATATGATTAATGTATAAGCGCTAAACAGCCGTCTTCTCCTAACATTTGAAGCGAGCCACCGTGAGTCTAGAGTAGATATAATAATAATACTAATAATTAATCATAAGTGATGTTGAACACCAGTAACTGAAGTAAAGGCTGATTCATGATTCTGAATCGAAGCTTGTAGCCTACCTCTGGGGCAGAGTATTCATATATTGTATTCATACACAGTTTTCATAGTTGTGCGTTTGTGTGTGTGAGTTGCGCAGCTCTTGTGGTCTGCATCGGCTCTACGCGTAATTAAGAAGGTTACACCAGCAGTGCATCTACTTTTTGGGAGGGGGCGCTGCCTTCAGTTAATGTCTCAGACACATGACTGGCAGCAGCCCAATTCTGGACTGTTCCTGTGTTCGCTCAGCCTCTGACCTCTGACCTCCAGCTCGCACTCTGAGGAACGTCCTCCACTTCCTGACAGACATCGGGGACGTCTGTAACACCAAGCTGGGCGCTCCATACAGGAAGTGCCGGGCAGTGTTCACTGAGGCTCGGGTCGACTGCTGCGACCTGCTGGGGGACTTCAGCGCCCTGTGTGATATTGTGGAGAGCTTAATGCCGCTCTGCAACATCGCCCGTGGTCTGTTCACCGACACCATCACCTCTTACTTACTTCAAATGAGCACCTCTCCACACATTCACTGTAGAAAAGAACTTCGATATTTGTATTTCTATTAACTGCATCATTTCAATCCGACAAACATATTTCAAATGATCACAACTTAGATTTTATATGGTTTACTCAACCACCAACCAATCACAGCAGTCAAGAGTTGAGAGCTTCCCTTTGTCTGAATTGACTTCTGTCAGAGAAGAGAGAGTGATAGTGGGAAGGGGGAGGAGAGGGAGAGAGAGAGAGGCGAGAAAGACTGGGAACACTTGAGCACCATCAGGTATCAGATCTGACTAGTTAAAAAGTAAACAACAGTGTAAAGACTATTAATTATTATTGATAACAGGCATAATTCATATCATAATTAATTACTGAGATATTGTAATTAATAATAGTAATAATGGTCAAAGTTGTTGTCCTGAGGTTGCGGGGTCAGAGATATCTATCTATGAGAGAGAAAAAGAGAGAGAGAGAGAGACTAGCAGCTGAAGGTTCTACCTCCTGTTCTAATCTTACAGACTCTAGAACCACAAGAGAGCCTGTGTTTTGTGATATATATAAGACTCATTGTTTTCTCTTTCAGCCGGCGAGTTCTTCTGCATAATCCCCTCGTACATTGCCAACCATCTGAAAAAACGTCTTGCAGCTCGTGAGTTTTTTAAACTCTATTGTGTGTTTTTTATACTTTACTTATTTTACTGACGACACTACCATAGTGGCAGGTGTGGAGATTGTCCCATCGTAGAAGTACCTTGGCGTGAAACTGGATAATAAGCTGGAGTCGTCCACCAACACAGAGGCTGCTTACAAGAAGGGCATGAGCCAGCTCTACTTCTTGAGGAGGCTCAGCTCCTTCAATGTCTGCAATAATGTTGTGAGCACGATCTTCTTTGCTGTGGTTCTGGGGTGAAGGTATCACAGCTAAGGACCCAAACAACTCAATCATCAGGAAGTCTGTCGTCGGCTCTAAGTTTGTCACCCTGCAGGAGGTGGCTGAGGGTAGAATGCTGCTCACCTCCTTCACAAAACAGCGGACAAACTTAAGAGCAACTTGAGTCAGACTCATTCAGCTGCACTGTTCAAAGGGACGACACAGGAAATGGTGATAATAGGTTATACAATTCATCAGCTTCTGCTAGTTATAACCCACTTATAACTTGCACTAGACAGTCTGCTCGTACTAAACACTGAAGAATACTGAAATATATCTAGAATGTGATCAGACAGTATATACTATTCTGGTAGGATACACCATATCCATATTATATATCATATCCATATATTATGTCTGTGTGTATGTATGTATATGCCTCTTACATGATGTCCAGTGTGCTGGACTTCAGCAGCACTTTGTGTAATTTCTTTTGTTTTTTGTGTATTTTTACCTTGTATTTTAATATATGTGGCTGTGACAATTTGATTGCCTGTCTGTCTGTCTGTCTGCCTGCCTGCCTGCCTGCCTGTCTGTCTGTCTGCCTGTCTGTCTGTCTGTCTGCCTGCCTGTCTGTAACTCTGCCTTTGTCTCCCTCCAGCCATTGTTGCAGTTTTTGAGCAAATGAAGCAAGAGTTTGAATTCAACATCTCAGCCTCTGTGACCTTTGACCTGGATGCCAACAGCAGTAAATCTTTGCAGCAGATGTCTCAGGACGTCATGGACGAGGTTTCATCAGACCTGCAGGTGTTTCAGAAACTCAGCGAGCCATTAAAATACGGTGGCCTCGTGCTGCTCGTCCTCTCATTCCTGAGGTCAGTCAGCTTTTCATCAGGTGATCGATGGTGGATGCTGCACTTTGACCTCTGATCACTTCTGTGTGTGTGTGTGTGTGTGTGTGTGTGTGTGTGTGTGTGTGTGTGTGTGTGTGTATGCGCAGGGCGGTGCAGTACAGACGTAGTTATCTCCGTGAGCTCAACTTTGACAACATCTACATCAGTTCTAAGTTTGAGGAGTTTGACCAACAGGTGACGTCCGGGGGCGGAGTGTCAGTCCTGCCAATCACACGCAAAGAGGCCAAGACCTACATCACACCATGTCAGTGCCACTGCGTGTGTGTGTTTGTGTGTTTGTGTGCGTAAACTAGCACCTGAATACTGAAGTGACCTTGTTGACCACTCTGGACAGTGTCGTTGCACCTGTCGAACGGAGAGTGGCGAGTGGTGTTGGTGGGCGTGGTCTCAGTCCTCAAACATCTTGTGGTGGGGAGCCTGCTGGTGGCACTGGACTTCCTGGTCTTCTGGATCCTGGATCAGGTACGCCACCAGGTGACGGGAGATGTGGTGGCCCGAGGTGAGATAAAAAGCAATGTCTGGTAAGTATATGACTGATGTTAGTCAAATGGATGGTAACCAGGTTACTGTGCTGTCCCGTCAGCCCCAGTCACCGTGGCAGTGCAGGTGAATGGGTCAGGGTTTGCTTCAGACATCTTCAGAGACCTGGTGGCTTCGTTTAACATCCTGCAGGGAGGAAACGTCACCGTGATCAGCAGGAAGTGTCTACTGGAGCCATCAGAGCCAAACTACAACACATGTGTCACTCTGGGTTAGAAAGTGACATCAGTGCAGACAGCTCATTATCACACAGCTGAATCAATCAATCAATCAATCAATCAATGAATAATTCAAGTGACAGAAAATGACAGTTACAACACCTGAGAATAAGTTTGTCTCCGACCACTTCTCAAACACATCACAGCCAACTTACTTGCTGATATGTGGGCGGGGTCATAGTAACATCAGGTCCCAAAGGAGAGCATTTGTATTTTTGATTGACAGTTAAGATAAACTGATTGTGAAGTCGAACTGAGCCGAAAACAAACACTGTTTCAAAGTGTTTTATTTAGAAACTACACATACATACGGAACTTAAAACAGAAAACATAAAAAATAAACCAAAAATCAATCTCATCAGAAAATCACAGGAAGTTAAAGATCAAAATGAATAAATGTGTCAGAAGAGAAGTTACTCCATTCAGGAAACTCCTTCTACTTCATCACCCTCTCTTATGGCTCTCCAAGATTCACCTTACAGTTTATAGATGCATCCATCACTTTTGAGCATCAGTCGTTCTTTACAGACTGGCCCATCTGGTGTTTTCACCTCAAGTTATTAAATTCCTTCAAAATGACTAATTTGCTGCTCAACACTTGCCAACATGTTTGACTCCCTCGACAGACAGCAGCCAATCGATAGTCACACCTTAATAATCACACCGCTTCTCTGCACTCATCTTAAAGTGAGAACAATCAAGTGACATGACAGCATCAAATAATGTATGCTGTCTCTGGTGTGCATCTTTCCCATTAAATAACCAGAGGCTCCATGAATAAGAGCAGGTTTCTGATAAAGAGAATTTACCACTTACTTATTCCAGAGCCTATAGAGCCCCATAGGTGTGATCAGGTCAATGTGATCAATATCTCTCTCTCTGGCCCTGCAGGCATCAGTATGTGACATAAACCATGTGATGTTACCAGCAACGAGACCAAGGAGACAAAATGAAGCTTCCATTACAGTCATTTTTAAATATTACAAATTACAAAGCAATGCTGCCAATATGCTAACAGTTTGTTAGCAATGTTGCCAAAGATATCTACTTGTTAATTGGTTCAAATTTTATTTTTTTCATAAGTTGTTAATGCTATTATATTGGCAAATGTATTTTGTAATTGACACAATTCTCCTTCCAAGAGTTTGTGGC